AGATGATGTGATTTTTCCAGTTACACAGTATGAGTAGGATCCTCGTGACTGTGGCCACCAAGTCCAGCAGTCTTTCTATTACTCCAAACTCCTCAGTTAGCCTAGTTAATGAAATTCAGAGAGTATAAATATGGTCCTATTTCCAAAGTCGTTCTACCCTGGTAGAAGCTTCCAGAGCTTGAATTCCACTGACACAGCATTTAAGAAACCAAGGCTAACTCCATGTCACCAGGAGGCATCAGAGTCAATTTTAAATTATTCCACCGAATTTTCAAGACCCTCCATATTCTGGTCCCTGTCTCACCAACCCAAGGTTACTTACCACCACTCCCCAAATCATACTTTCTGCTGTAGTCAGGCTGGGCTTGTTGTGCCATGAACATGCCATCTTCACTCTTACCATCTTACCTTCACTTGTGTTACTTCTCCCACTAGTAGTGACCTTCTATGTAAATCCTACTTAATCTGGAAGGTCTAGTTCAAATCCTACATCCCTATGACTTCCCCAACTATTCAACAATCTCCCGCTCTTTTGATTCTGCAATGCTTTTTGTATGTATCATAGACAATACGGTGCCTCAATTATATAATAATTTGTATTGATAATGTGTTAGTCCCAGATTGTCAGAACTAAAAGAGACCTTGATTCAACTCCCTCACTTTAAAGAATGGAAATTGGCCAAGGTTAGGTGACCTGCCTCAAGTTCATATTGGTGACAGAGGTGAGACTAGAAACCTGATCTAATTCCAAGCCCAGCATTCTGACTTTCCCTACTCAATAAAGTCCAGTGGCTCCCTATTGCCTCTAGGACAGTATAGAAACTCTCCAGTTCAGCTTTGAAAGCCTTACACAACCTTGCCCCACCATGCTACCTTTCTAGACTTATTGAACATCATTCCCTGTCCTGCACTCTGCAATCTAGTCGAATTGGCTATTTTTTCCTATTCATCACACACGAGACACCATATCCCATCTCCATGCCTTTGCATTGGCCATCCCCCATGCCTGAAATGCTCTCCCTCCTCCCTCCTCACCTCTACCTCAGAGTCCCTCTCTTCCTTTAAGATGAAGCTCTAGCATCTTCTTCATGATTTCCCCAACTGCTACTGCCACCCCTCCAAAACTACCTTCATTCCTTTATTCGATCACCCTGGGAGACGCCTCTGTCACCATGTCACAGGAACCCTCTCACCATGGAAGATCCCACCCCTTTCTCCAATGGATCAATTTCTCCCAGACCCTCCATTTTAAGGAAGTGCCTAGCACAAACGTATTTATTCCTTTGTTCCTCTCTGGGTTCTCCTCTTAACTCTCCAGACTTCTCTCTTTCTCCATCACTCCCACTCCCTACTTTTTAGCTTCCTTTTATGTGTTTTTCGCTCATTAGAATGTAAGTTCCTTGAGGGCAAGGACTATCTTTTTTGTTCACATTTATATTCCCAGGGCTTAACACAGTGTCTGGCACATAAACAGTAAGCACTTAATAAATGTTTAACTTGAATACCTTACTTATATTTACTTTGTATATATTTGTATTTATTTACTTTATATTTATGCTGAATATATTTTTATAAGTACTTATTATCTCCTCTATTAGAATATAGGCTGCTTGCAAGTAGGGATTGTTTCATTCTTTGTACTTAGATCCTTAGCACTTAGCAGTACCTGGAATGTAACAGATGCCTAATGAACACTTGTTAATTGTTTGATTGACTTCTAACACATAATGCTACTACTTCATATACTATACCTGTATTCTCCTCCCCACACACACACACAGTGCCTAAATGAGGGCCAGACATACAATAGACATTCAATAAATATTTGTTGAATGACATGACTGACAAATTGGACTGAACAATCTTCAACAAAATCTAAAAAAAAAAAAAATTAGAGAGATAATGTTTAAAGTGCCACAAACAAAAGGAATCATAAACCACAGTGAAGATACTGAAGGTACTATGTTGCTGTTCAATCACTTTTCACTCCTGTACAACTCTTCATGACCCCAGTTGGGGTTTTCTTGGCAAAGATAATGGAATAGTTTGCCATTTCCTTCTCCAGATCATTTTACAGATGAGGAACTGAGGCAGATAGAGTTAAGTGACTTGCCCAGGGTCACACAACTAGTAAGCGTCTGCGGCCAGATCTGAATTCAGCTCTTTCTGATTCCAGGATGCTCTATTCACTGCACCACCTAGCTGCCCCCACAGATAGCTATGAGGAGGTCTTTTCTGAAAGTTTTTTTGAAGGCTCTGGAACTTAAACATAGGCCAAGGAGTCCCAAATAATGTTGAACTCTGGCTTTGAAGAAAAGAAAACCCAAGTTCAAATTCTACTGCTATTCCTTACATTCAGTGTGACCTCGGGTAACCTCTCTGCGTCTCAATTTCCTCAACCGCAAATTAAAGGGCTTGGATTAAATAATCTAAGATTGCTTTTTAGCCCAACATCTACGATCCTAGTATAGCATTGATTCTTAGCGTTTTCTGTGCCACAATTGCCCCTCTGACAGTATGGTGAAGCCTTGAACCCCTTCTCAGAATAATGTTTTTAAGTGAAGAAAATAAAATATAGGAGACTGCAAAGGAAACCAATTCTATTAAGATACAGCCATCAAAAATTCCAACAACAAGTTCACAGTCCCCAGGTGAAGAATTTCTGCCTCTGCTTTTATGGAGAATTTCATGGATTCCTCTCTATCCAGTGGCCAGTTTTCTGGTGGTAGAGCTTTCTACACAATCTAGTATCTGGAAGCCAGTTCATCACTGGATCCCTACTAGAAGCCTTTCTAGGTGATGCCACAGCTTATCTTTCACTGAGAGAGACTTGGAGGACTCAGTCATTTCCATACCCTGATGAGGCACCAGAGTAGGCAGGGGCATTAGAGTACAATGCCCTCCATAAACCCCCATGATTTGGTGTACTCTCCTCTGGCCATCCTGTCTGCAGCCCAAGTTCTCACTCCGACCCACCCCACTCCCTTTTCAAGAATGACTTAAGGTAATATTAGCTCCTCAGATTTCACTCTGCCAAGGGCAAAATTCAAAGCTCTCCTAGCGTCAGCACCTGCCTCAGAACTAAAGATTGCTAGGCAGAGCTGTTTCTCAGCCACACCTTTGGTAATCCTTTTCATAAACTCTTGTTGATGCCCACACCTCTGTACCTTCCTCAGAAATAGGACATGGTTTGATGAGGCAGGTCTGCAGGCATGAGGGTATAAAGTCCAGAAGGCACAGCCTTCCCATTACTGTGACTGTTTCTAACTCATCCAGCAGCTGCTAAGCCTTCTGGGTCCAACAATGACTGAGATGTGAAGCACCAGGTAAAAAGCCCTGTGGAAGGATGTTACTTAGCACGGGGCTCATTACCCAGTGGGCCATGCCAAAATCTATCTCCTTTGAACTTTTCCTAACTTGTCCCATCTTCCCCCAAAAAATATCATGTAGTTCTAGGGCCATCTGTTCCACAAGCTAGCTGTGTGATTCTATAACAAATCACTTCAGCCGCTGTGCCTCAGTTTACTCATCTGCAAAAGGAGGAAAATAGACCAGAAGACCTCTAAGATCCCTTCCAATTCTACACCTATGAGCTCTAAAATTCTTTCTTCTTCTGACTGGGATTCTAAGTTGCATCGCCACCAAAGAAAAACACTGGGAGTCAGGGTCTCCCCTCCCTGGGTTTTACTCCTTGCTGTAGCACCATTTGTGGGACTTTAGGCAAATCATTTAATCTCCAACCCCCACCCCCACCCTGCCCCAGTTTCCTCATCTATAAAATGGGAATAATAGTGCCAGCCCTACCTGCACAGCATGTCACACTTCTCTTCGAAAACGAAGCACAAACAACAACAATCTACCTCACTGTTACTAGAACACCAAAACGAGATCACACAATTAGAAAAGAACTGAGAAAAGCAAAACACAAGTGTGATATAAACACAAGGTGGCATTATTATTTCTACAATTATTATTATCCCTTCCCAAAACTACCTTCTATAAACATATTTATATGTACACATTGACTCCCCCAATAGAAATATGACCCCCTTGAGGGCATTTTTGTCTCTGTAGCCCCAGCACCAAGCATAGGGCCTGGCATATGATATGTGCTTAATAAATGCATTTTGATTGTTATTATTTTGGTCTGGACCTGCCATTTCATTCCTATAAGGAACTCCCATTGTAAAACTCCCTTCACCAATGCAGAGTGAATATCTATAAAATATCTATAAAAAAGAATCTCTCTTTTTTGTTTGTTTGTTTTTTGTTGAGGCAATTGGGGTTAAGTGACTTGCCCAGAGTCACACACTAGGAAGTGTTATGTGCCTGAGGCTAGATTTGAACTCAGGTCCTCCTGACTCCAAGGCCAGCCATCTCTTCACTACGCCATGTTGTCCATTATTTTTAAGCCTTATCACAATGGTGAAACAAGCATATTCCCAGGCAAACTACCTAATGATAATTTTAGAGGAAAATAATTATAAATGCATGTTTAAAAATTATTCAGTTTTTGAATATCCACAGTCATAATAGCATGGAAATGTGTGACTGATGTATATTTATCAAACAGCTAACATTTATCTCACATCTAAGTGGCCAAGTCACTTAATCTTTCTAAGCTTTGGTTTCCTCAACTGTAAAATGTGGGAGTTGTACCCTTTAAGGTTCCTTCCTGCTCTAGATTTATGAACCTATGGCCTTTCCAGACCTCAGTTACCTTATCTATAAAATAAAGAGGTGTGCACTGGATGAGCTCAAAGGTCTTTTTCTCTGCAACTCCAGGGTTTTCTTGGCAAAAGTACTGGAGTGGTTTGTCATTTCCTTCTCCAGTTCATTTTACAGATGAGGAAACTGAGGCAAACAGGGTAAAATGACTTGCCCAGGGTCACACAGCTAGTGTCTGAGGTCACAGAGTGCCCGGCTTGACACTCTATCCACTATGCCACCTAGCTGCCTACTCAAAGATTTAGCTTGGCTCTACAAACCTCTGACTCCAAGTTCACTTCAGCAGCACATTTACTAAAATTGGAACAAAACAAAAATTAGCATGGCCCCTGAGCAAGAATGACACCTAAATTCCTGAAATGTTCCATATTTTTAAGACTCTGGGAAACAGCCTACATAAGGAAAAACTGGCGATCTCTATCACATCCCTATTGCCAGCTTGCTACACTAGAGACTTTGGGGAATTTCCCTTTGAGTGAGATCTGGGACTCTCTCTCGGGTGAGCTGGGTTACCTCACTCCCAAAGGGAGAGCTCCTTCACTCTGTATTGTCTGGTGTATATTCTCCTGTGTACACTTTCTCTGATTTCTCTTTTACTAACTACTTGGATAAATCAGTTTCTTTGCTAATAAATAAACAAATCTACCTATTTAGTGTGTGGAAGATATAAAAATAAGTCAGGTTAAGGTATTATAGTTGGTTATGAGATGCAGTCACATACCTAGATGCATACATACATAGACATTCCCTCAGATTCCCTGCAAGGTCAGGCCTACTCTTGACAACTTAGAATGTTAAGGAGAGATAGGAAATCTCCCCTGATGTTCCACAGAGTGACAATTACAAATCACCAGGGCATGACCACAATTTCTTTTCTTTAATCAACTCATTCAAAATATCAGAACTGACGTCCATATGTGCTTGACAGAACCCACTAATTCTATTTTGTTGAAGAGACAGGCTAACTGTCCTGAAACAAAATCAGCTCAAGGAGAGAGATCTTTCTGATACTGAGGTTAGGTAGGTCAGGCTTCCATTCAACTTAAAGACAATTTGAAAAGGTTCATGGCTTCTCAAAGATATCAACATCTACCAGCATTCATCATATATAGGGAGTTAGAGGAAGGGAGGAAGGGAAGGAGGGAAGGAAAAAGGATGGGAAGTGAGAGAGGAAAATAGGGAAGAAAGAGGAAGTAGGGACACCTGAGTTCAAAATCAAGCCTCAGACACTAGCAGTGTGACCCCGGGCAAGTCACTTAATCTCTATCTCCCTCAGTTTCCTCACCTACTTCCCAGGGTTGTTGTGAGTACAAAATGAGATAATATTTGTAAATGTTTTGCAGATCTTAAAAGGCTATACAGCTTTGTAAGTGCTTTGTTATTATATAACAGCATTATTATCATCATTATTATTATTTTGCAGATGAGGAGACTGAAGCAGATAGAGGTTAAGTGATTTGCCTAAGATCATACACCTAAGTTATCTAGGGTAACTCTTCGTTGTACAGAAGAGAAAATCAAGGCCCAACAAGGAGAAATGATTTGCCCAAGTAAGTGTCAGAACCGGAACTTGGACCCATGTATTCAGACTTCATCTTGCATTATTCCATGCTATTTTCCAAAAGCATAAAGCATGACATGCAGTTTGGAGGAATGAGGGGTAGGAGTGGGATGGGGTTAAGGAGAATATTAAGTGACCAGAAGCAGAGATTTTCTTGAAATTGTTAAAGCAAATTAAATTTGAAAAAAAAAAAAAAACTTTTTCTAGAAAAATACCGATGGCATATTGCCCAGCCGGCCAAGTATCACATAGGAACTGCCTGAAACGAGGACCCAATCCGTATAAATGTTTCAGCCTTACATGAATAAATCATGACTGGCATAGTGAGTCGATATAAATCTCCCTCTTCAGGCCTAATTGGTTATTTCACTCAGCAAAATTGGAGAGGACACCAACGTAATCTGGGTGTGGTGAACTAACTGCTCAGTCAGAAAAAGAACAATTTTCTTACCAGTGCTGGGGATAAAAGGAGAACAGGTATAACTGTGGGCTTGGATCACAAAGGCAACAACCAGCAGCCCGGAACCAATGAGCCTTTACTGTGGCTCCTCCTGGCCATCATCCTGGCCATCATCCCTCAGCTCCAGGATTCTCGACCAATGGTTCAGAGAACTGGGAGAGATCTCCAACGTCATTCTCCTCCTCTTAAACACGACCAAAGTAAGGCCCAGAGAGTTTAAATGATTTTTATATGGGTAATAGGTGGCAGAACCAGGTGACTGCCAAACCAGCACACTTTCCACTGGACCATGATGCTTTGCCTCATCTCTTTCCAAAGGGAAATAGTGAGGAGGGGAAGTGTTAGGAACCATTCCTGAGGCATGCTGTTTTGTAGCGAAAAGAAAGAAGGATGTGTTTCCTGTCTATTTTCTAAGATTCCGAGTACAGTCACGCACTTTCACCCAGTTCGTGAATACAGTGTCATGATGCAACATTTCTGTACCATTGTTTTCCCTGACATTCATTCCCTTTGTCTTGGGCTTCCCAGCTAGGCATGTTGGTTAACTCCCTGCCTTTGTCAAACCCAGGTTCCTTAACTTGAAAATGTCTGGTTAATCCATTCACTCCTCCAGCCCACGAAGTGATCTTCCTTCCTGAGTCCAGTTGGATTTAGAAGCATCCACTTAATAGACAAAGCATTGTGGAAGATACTAGTATATAAGACTCGATATTGCCTTAGAGGAATTTACAGCTAGGTGGATAAGATAAAGACACAGAAAAAATTGAATAGACACACAAGACATACAAGACAACCAACTGATGTCACATGGCAGCATATAATAAATCGCCAAATGAGTGGTTCAGACAATTGTTACAGGAGGGCAAAGGGAATCATGGCGGACTGGAGGGGTCAGGGAGATCACAGGCCCTGAGGCAAGTCCTGAAGAATGGCTAGGACTTAAAAAGACAGACAGTGAGGAAGGGCTGGGCTTTCCAGATGAGGGGAATCAGAGAAAATAGAAAAGTGTGAGGTGTGTTTAGGGAATAGTGAAGACTGACTGGCAGGGATACAGATTGGCTTCATCCTCTTGCCCAGCTATTTTGGAAAATGCTGGTCTGTTTGCACTGTTCAGGAGCTGGGGGAAGAGGGCTGGATCAGCATGTTCTACACTTGTGTATCTTTACTCTGAAGGTCAAAGATTGCTCAGCACAGTGCACACACCACTACTTATACAACATCCTCCAACCTACCCATCAGCAAGGGCTCAGAGATCTACCCGAGCCTCTACCATTGAATGGGCAAACTTATGGATAGGTGCCAGCTACTATCAGCAAGGTGAATTGCCTACCATAGTGCTGGTTTTTAATAAAAAGGTCTGTGATGAGTAAAGGAAAACTTGGGGCTAGGTGGACAGAGGGAAGACAAGGGGGAAAGAACATAGGAAGGACATCTCTAGAACTTATGACTGATCAACTCCAGATAGAGGTTCTTGCTCATCAAGGGATGAGGGAACCCTGAGCACCAAGGTGAGGCAACATGGGGCTTAAGCCTGAGTCCTCATGGCACTACTGGCTTAGTTTTAACTTAGACAGGCCTCAGTTTCCTTATTGATGAAACAGGAACAGTAATACATGATCCCATACTCCAGCCAAATGGAAGTCCTGTGTCCCCTTACAATGTTCCCTGCACTTCCCTGTTTTTGTGCTCAGGCTGTTCTCAATTTTCATATTGTCCTTCGTCCCTCTTCCTTCCTCTGTCCCTCTCCCTATCTCTCTCTCCCCTCCTTCTCTCCTTCTTTCTTTCCCTCCTTCTCTCCCTCTCTCTCCCTCTCCTCTTCTCCCTCTCCCTGTCTGTCTCTCCCTCTCCCTGTATCTCTGTCTCCCCACACCCCATCTCTCCCCCTCCCCATCTGTCTCTGTCTCTCTCTCTCCTCATCTTTGTCTCTTTCTCTCTCTCTCTCTCTCTCACCCATCTGTCTATCTGTCTCTCCCCCCCCCCCCCCCCCCCCCCCTCTCTCCCTCCTTGTCTGTCTATCTGTCTCTCTCCATGTCTGTCTGTCTCTCCTTCTCTACCTTCTGGAGCTGAGAGAGGAGGAAGGAAGACTCCATACGGAATTAGAGGACTGAGCAAGTCACAAACCTCTCTGAGTGTCAGTTCTCTCAGGCATAAAATGAAGGATTGGGTCTAAATAGTTGACCTCTAAGGTCCCTTCCCAGTCTGAATTTATGATCTTATGAATTCCGACCCATCCTTTCAAATCCCAACTCAAATGCCACCTCTTCTAAAAAAGCCCCCCCTCATCATCCAGTGGAAACAACAAGAATTTATGCGGCAGGCACTGTGCTAAGTGCTTTACAAATATGATCTCATTTGACCCTCACAACAACCCTGGGAGGTAGGTGCTATTATAATTCCCATTTTACAGTTGAGGAAACTGAGGCAACAGAGATTAAATGACTTACCCAGAGTCACATAGCTAGTAAGTATCTGAGGCTGGATTTGAACTCTGGTCTCCCTGATGCCAGGCCAAGTACTTCATCTACTGTACCACCTAACTGCCTCAAATAGCACTTTTTTTTTGGCCTTCTCTTCAACAATTAACATGTATTATTCTGTATTACAGCTATCTGTTCATGTCTCCTATCCACCAACTTGAATGCAACCTCCAAAAGGACTTGTCTCATCTAAACTTTCTTTCACTTAGAACCTTACACATAGTAAGTAGGAACCTAATAAATGCTTGCTAGAGTCCTGCCTTGTCTATCTCAAGGGATAATTGGGAAGATCAGAGGAGATAAGGTAGGTGAAAGCACCATGTAAAAAGTAAAACACCAAGCAAAGCGAGGGATTATTAATTATCTTGCAAAGGGAGTCGAGCGGCAGCTGTAACTGGTTCTTTATGATTTAAGCCACTGCAGAGGGGTACAGCTGCTAAGGAAGCCCCAGCCCCTTGGGCTCAGAGCCGGTGCCAGTGTGAGTGAAAGACGGATGAATAATATTCCCCATCCTGCCCTCTCAACAGCTGCTACAACAGGTCTTGTTAGCAGGAGCTAAAGATGGGCCCTGCCCACAAGCTACAAAGCTCTCTGTCTGCTCCAGAAAAGCAGCCTCATTCCTGTCTGCTCCAAATCCTCTCCACATCAGTTAGTCTTTCTCCCCTATGACCCCTCCTCAAAATTAAATTACTGTGCCCTGCCCTGTCCCCACATGCCCTGTACTTTCCCACCTCCATGCTCATGCTGTTCTCTATCTCCAAAATATTCTTCCTCTTCTTTCTTCTTCACCTACTGAATTGGGAGGCGTCCTGGCTCCCAGAAGCCAGGCCAATATTCATCCCACTTGCTTACCTCACATTGTTCTTGCTATCAATA